AGTAGCATCAAAGTTATTGAGATTAAACAACATATTATCGAGATTATTGATTTCTTAGATGTAAACTAAAATTTTACTGAAAATTGAGCAAATATCTGCCTTCAGAATTTTATGACATCATTAAGCCTTTTACTGATAATTTTGAAGATGAAACTCAATGATTTGATGGTGCCGTAGGCTGTTTAGTTGTTTGTGTGGTGTTTGCCCGCTCTAATTTTGCTTTTTTGAGCTTGTGTGTCACATCCCGGCCCGGGACGGATTACTTTCCGGGCCCGCTCCACCACCATAGCACCATATTGTCCGTTTTAGGCCCCGACTACGCCCTCATGGTTTTGTTTTTGGGAACTCACGAGTAACTTCCCAATGGGTCACCCATCATGGGATTGCTCTAAGCCCCTTCTCGCTTAACTTCGGAGTTCCTACGGAACCTGAAGCCAGTGATCTCCCAAAAGGCCTCGCGCTAGGTAGAGATAGGAATATACATATAAGGATCACTTCCCTGGACGATGTGGGATGTCACATTGTGGATGTGTTGTCTTATTTAACTTGGTATGTTTTCAATTTTTGTCCAGTACCTAACTTCGATGTAAAGTTGAAGTTTATCTGATGATGAAGTTATTTCGTTTCATAAAAAATTAAAAACTCAATTAACACTATAACTTGGTACCTGATATACCATTTTCTCATATATTAAAAGGGTTGCTATTTGTTCTAATTTTACAGTTCATTTCTGGGCCCCAACATTTAAATGGGGTCTAACCATTGCAAATATTCTTGACTCAGCAACACCACCAGAGAAACTATCCTATCCTCAGCAATCAGGTTGGCCATGACTCCCTAATTTGTTTGATGGCCTCCGTCTTCCCGGATTCTAACATATAGTCGGAGATATATTCTCTGTTTTTTTTATATATCTCATCACATAACTTAACCACTGTCACGTAATGAGAGTGTTGAGCAATATAAGAAGAAAGGGATATATCTCCATCTTGTCAGTTTTGCCAAAAAGTTTACTTACTCGTTGGTGATTATTTCATTATTTGATTACTGATTTTGGCGTCCACATTTGATGATCTTCAGTCCTTGCATGCAGTGGACTAATATGGGCAAGATACGGCACAGTAATTATACCAGTAAGTGATTCTAAACCTCAAGTTATTAATTAATTACAGCAAATAATTTACTGTATAAGTTTGAGATAGGTTTTCACCTTCTCATGGTTGTCCATTTTGGTATTGCAGAAGAATTGGAATCTTGTGAGTGTCAATTTCGCTATGTCTGTAACCGCCATGTATCAACTTTCGCGTAAAATTCAGTATGTTGTCATGTACCCTCGTACTGAAAAATTGTTACTAGTACTCCAAAATTGTTATAGCGCAATGAATTGCTTCGTATCTGCCTTATTTTGAGTGGCAAATAATTACAATGAACTGACCATCACCAATTTTCATATTTTCCAGGCATGACTTATCTATCAAAACCATGAAGTTGCTGCAGAAGAAGAATGAATAAAACCTCAATTCCACTTGCTGCATTGGAAACTTGGCGTGCTGATTTCGAGTTAAGCACGCTCCGATTCAATCTTGTAACAATTACAGTAAAACATATTCGTTCTCATGGATTAACGTTGGATTATGTTTGAACCTCATGGTTCAATTAAGGCTAATGAAAAATATATTGTAGCATAAATTCTGTTTATAAATAGCAACATCTTCATTCGACACATTTACTTAGCACGCTTACTAGCTATTGAGAAAAGCCTAATTACGCGGTAGAGAGTATTTATCCCCACACGCGGTAGAGAGTATTACTAGCCACTGGATCATGAAAAAGGAACAATTTATAAACCCAAAAATGAAAACTTATGGCTATTTTTTTTTTTTAATTAAAAAGGATGGTCACTCAAAGTAGTTGACAGTGGATATACAAGTGTATAAAAGCTGTGGCCAATAAAATTGAGGCTGCATTTTATTTTAATGTTTTATTTTATTCTCTTTAGAATAATATAATACGAAAAACTAACTTTTTAGATCACATATATAACTATTTGAAGTGTCACCTATAAGAAAAAACGTAAATCAACTTTTAAGTAACAATCCAGTAATCAATAATCATATCATATGATTTACAAAATATGCTTTAAACAGATGATTTTTCTAGCATTATCCTTTAAAATATATTTTTTGTGGAATACCTTTGCTTAGATTTCTTTTTCTTGCACAAAATGCCTTTGCTTATATATTTATACAGTCACTTTATTTGAATTCAACCCCATATTATTGGAAGGACCACTATATAATGATTTCACATGTAAGTTCTTATCTTCTTCTTCCTCAGTTCTGCTGTATATTCAATCAGATCTCCAGAAGGGATCCGAGAATCATTTCATGGCAAATTCCAAGCTGCAAGCATTTTGGAACCACCCAGCTGGCCCCAAAACGAGTTTGTTTACTTACTCCATAAGTTTATACATGTTAATTTTCTGTTGGTTATTTACTTATATTGTTCTCAACTTCTCAATCGAATATTGTTGGTAGAGTTAATCTTAATCCCATAGGTTGTTCTTGATTAGCATCAAAGTTATCGAGATTAAACAACATATTATCGAGATTATTGATTTCTTAGATGAAAACTAAAATTTTACTGAAAATTGAGCAAATATCTGCCTTCAGAGTATTATGACATCATTAAGCCTTTTACTGATAATTTTGAGGATGAAACTCAATGATTTGATGGTACCGTAGGCTGTTTAGTTGTTTGTGTGGCGTTTGCCCGCTCTAATTTTGCTTTTTTGAGCTTGTGGATGTGTTGTCTTATTTAACTTGGTATGTTTTCAATTTTTGTCCAGTATCCAACTTCGATGTAAAGTTGAAGTTTATCTGATGATGAAGTTATTTCGTTTCATAAAAAATTAAAAACTCAATTAACACTATAACTTGGTACCTGATGTACCATTTTCTCATATATTAAAAGGTTTGCTATTTGTTCTAATTTTACAGTTCATTTCTGGGCCCCAACATTTAAATGGGGTCTAACCATTGCAAATATTCTTGACTCAGCAACACCACCAGAGAAACTATCCTATCCTCAGCAATCAGGTTGGCCATGACTCCCTAATTTGTTTGATGGCCTCCGTCTTCCCGGATTCTAACATACAGTCAGAGATATATTCTTTATTTTTTTATATATCTCATCACATGACTTAATCACTGTCACATAATGAGAGTGTTGAGCGATATAAGAAGAAAGGAATATATCTCCGTATTGTCAGTTTTGCCGAAAAGTTTACTTACTGGTTGGTGATTATTTCATTAATTGATTACTGATAGAAACTTTTGGCGTCCACATTTGATGATCTCCAGTCCTTGCATGCAGTGGACTAATATGGACAAGATACGGCACAGTAATTATACCAGTAAGTGATTCTAAACCTCAAGTTAATAATTAATTACAGCAAATAAGTTTGAGATAGATTTTCACCTTCTCATGGTAGTCCATTTTGGTATTGCAGAAGAACTGGAATTTTGTGAGTGTCAATTTCGCTTTGTCTGTAACCGCCATGTATCAACTTTCGCGTAAAATCCAGTATGTTCATGTACCCTCATATTGGAAAATTATTATTAGCATTTCAAATTAATCGTTATAGCGCAATTAACTGCTCTCGTGTCTGTCTTATTTTGAGTGGCAAGTAATTACAATGAATTGACTATCACCAATTTTCATATTTTCCAGGCATGACTTGTCTATAAAAAACCAAGAAGTTGCTGTTGTAGAAGAAGAATGAATAAAACCTCAATTGCATAATAAACTTGGCGTGCTGATTTCGAGTTAAGCGCACTCCGATTCAATCTTGTAACAATTACAGTAAAACATATTCGTTCTCATGGATTAACGTTGGATTATGCTTGAACCTCATGGTTCAATTAAGGCTAATGAAAAATATATTGTAGCATAAATTCTGTTTATAAATAGCGACATCTTCATTCGGCACATTTACTCAGTGCGCTTAATTACTAGCCACTGAGAGAAGCCTAATTACGCAATAGAGAGTATTTATCCCCACACTCAAAACCGAATCTCCGCTTGTATAGCTTTGGACTTGCAGTAATGCAGGTACTAAAAATGGTTATATGCCTAGGGAAAACAATTTTCGTGTACTTTCCTCCAGTACATGTCCTGTGTTTGCAGATTTTGCTGCGTTGTAAGCTGTCTCGCAGCATGATCTGCCTATTACATAAACCTATTCCTGGAAACACGTAGATTTTGACTTAACTAGGGATGAATGAAACTTGGTATTTTGCATGTATAGGTTTATCTTACGCTGCCGGTCTCAAGCCCGAATAAGAGGAGGGGAAGGGTGTCAAGTGGTCAACCCAACATTCTTTTTTTTTGTATGTCAAATTTTAGGATGATCATGAAGAAGAAGATGACAACCTTCTCACTCAGATCATCCCGGTTTACCTTCTAAAGGTTAATGCTGCAAAAAATTAACTAAGTTAAAAATTGTTTAACCGGTCAATTAATGGTTTAAAGATGGCTAAACAATTTCGAATTTAGTTATGTTTTTTCATAGATAATCTTTAGAGGCTCGCCTAGAAAATAGATAGTTCAGATCATCGTACAATATTACAAGATGAGAAAGAGAGACAGGTTAAATAAGTAAAATGAGAAGGTTCAAATGAGAAGGTTGTTAGCATCCTCCGAAAAAGACAACTTAATCATTCAACTGTTATATAAGAGTTCATGGATGGTTTAGTATTAAGGGCTACGCCTACGTCCCAACAAAATGCTCGAAAATTTGATCAAAACGAAAGAAAAGTATAGAAAGAAAATCTAGGAAATGTGCTAAGTCAACATGGTTGCATTGTACTAGCAACTGATGAACTTTCTCTTCTCAATAACCCCTATGGCGATACGCCAGCACATACGTAACAGGCGGTCAACCACCCACTGCCGTTAATTTTAGCATATGTCCCAATCACAGACACTAGAATGCGCCGCCTCTTATCCTACCCTCCCGTTGCCTATATAAATACTTCAACGTCCAAATCCTTTTACCTTCTTACGGCATAAACATTTTCACCTGATATTTAGGACAAACGCGATTCTCAGAAAATCCGCTTCTCAAAAAAACCAGAGAGCTCGATCATAATCCGAGTAAGTCATCCCAATTCTCCATCTGGGTTACTTCAATTACGGATTATGCTTCCATAATCTCCACGATTAGTTCCAAAATCTATGTGCAATTCAATTAAATTCGTTCATTTCTGTGAAAACTGTGTGCCCGTTTCTAAAATTTCTTAGCTTTGAGCTGGTTTTCGTTGAAATTTGATATTAATTGTATGTGGGTTTTGTTGGGGGTTTTTTTTCAGTGGATAAAGTTGAAAACTTGATGTGGGTTTTGTTTGTGATTTCAATAGTTTGATGATGGAACTGAAAAAATGATTATTTCTTTGAAAAGGCTGGTAATTTTGGTTTATTGGTAGTTCTGGATACATTGTTACGTATTAAAAGTTGAAATTTTTGGCTTTGTAGGATAACATGGAAGATCCACAAGTGGAGCACAATATTTGGGTCATATGGAGAGGTAAAAGGTTTAATGTGGAGATCAGTTCGGATGCTACTGTTAAGGATCTCGGGCATGAACTGCAAAAGTTAACGGATGTTAAAGCAGATACGATGAGGCTAATTATTCCGCAGTTCTCGGATAAAAGCTCAAAAATGTTGTCTCCCTTCTCTGATGAGCATCAGAACTTGAGTTTACAGGAAGCTTCCATCGTTGAGGTATCGTATTTAGTTGGTGTTTGTGTATTCGGTTCATGTCTTCTGAATACTTAAATAGTTACCTAGATATTGCTACTGCTTTTGGAGTTTGGTTGTTCTACTTGTCTATAAGACGTGAACTGTCCTATCGGAAGTTTTATGTCAGCGACTTAGACGACAAGGAAACTTTAGCACCCTTCTAATTTCTGTTCAAGTTTCATTAATGAATATATGTGCAATGAATGTATTAAAGGGGATAAGATGGATGTGACTTTGATTGATTAAATTTCTATAACTGAACTTTCGGAGTTCTTGCATGCTAACTGATTGATTTGTTCTTTTTTAGGGGAAGTCCATCAGAATGATGGGAGTGTCTGAAAACGAGGTTGATGAAGTTTTACAAAATGCAAAGGCAAACTTAAGGATAGCTGGATTTGATGAAGAGGAAAAGAGACTGAGGCAGCGGATGACAGGCAGGCCTCAGAGTCTGAAACTACCGCAAGGACCTTATATCTTTTGTGAATTCCAGACACTTCAACTTCCAGGAATTGAGGTATTCTAACATTATATATGACCAAATTTATTGCTTTATCAATTTTTGATAGAGGCGTGGAACTTCAACTTTGTAGTTAAATGTCTGTAGTTGAACCCTCCGGCTTCAGAGGCGTTGAAAAGAATGCACATGCTTGCTGCAGATCCTGGAATTATTTCTGTCATGAACAAGGTACCATGGAATGCATATTCCCACACTCGTATAAACAGACTGTCCAGTATGCAGTGCATTTGCTCTGTATTGATAAATTGAATTCCCTTGTACTCAGATGCCACTGCTGATAATTTATCTTTGCATTGTTCTTTTTAAAGCATCGTTGGCGTGTGGGAATCATGACTGAAATGGCCCCTGTTGGTTATGTTGGCATAAGTCCCAAATGCATCCTCGGCTTCAATAAGGTAATCACTCTACATGTCATAATAAATTATGAAAATAGGAGAACAAGTATATTTTCTTTGCTTTACATTTCTTGGCGTCGCTTGCTTACTGTTGCAGAACCATGGAGAGGAGATATCTCTGCGTCTTCGAACAGATGACCTCAAGGGTTTCAGGAAATATGAGAGTATCAAGAAAACTCTTCTGCATGAACTTGTAAGCTATTTATAGTTATGTACTCTACATTTTCAGTGTGTGCGCGCATTTTTTGTTGGTACATTATATGTCTGCAGAAGCTTTTTGTAGTATATGCATGATGACATTACACGGTGTTGTGGTTTTAGGGACCTTATACCGTTCTTCTATTTATTTCAGGCTCACATGGTATATTCTGAACATGATGCGAACTTTTATGCTTTGGATAAACAGGTAACAAATACAGTGGATGCATGTTCTTTTAAGTTTCCATGGTAATGTTCCAGTGTAGTTGCCTTCATTTTTAATTTAAAATTGTCTCTGTTTAGTTGAACCAAGAAGCTGAGAGTTTAGATTGGACGAGATCAACAAGTCACACACTGAGTGGAGTGCGGTACCCGGAACGGTATGAAGAAGACTTCATTGTTGGAGACAGAAGTAATTCTTCTCAGAAGCTTGGAGGAAATATATCTGATCGGCTGCCAAGCGCTCGTTCAGCTTCAGTGGTTGCTGCTTATCACCGTATGGCAACTGTTTCTCATGATAGTGTCTCTGAAGCACATGAAGAATCACATCCTGATGATTCCGGGTCAAATATGCAAAAAGAATCCAAACTTCAGAAGAACCCTGATATAGAGCCTGATCCTGATGCCCAGTCTGATAATCAGAACAAGTTTGAGCCCAGTCCTGATGATTCTCAGGGAACTAATGAATCATCCTCACAATTTACAGGAAGCGGGACCTTATTTGGAAAAGATTTCAGGTGAGTCTATGATCTGTCAACCTGAGTTAGCGGGGACCGAGTCTCGTGAAGAACCAGATCCTGATAATATGGATATTATGGAAAGCAGGGGTCAAGCAAGGAATAATGTGGATGAACCTGATCCTGATGACTTGGATGCAAAAGCAGATAATTTAGGATATGGTTCATTTGGAAATATTATAAGACCTAAACACGACAGTTCTTTGGTTACTGAAACCATCAAACATGAAGACAATCCAAGGAAGGCTTATTATGAACCTGATCCTGATGATTCTCAATCAAATGGAGTCAATCAGGCAGATCTTGATCCTGATACTAATTTGGTGCATCCACAGGATACATCCAGAATGCAGATTGATGAACCCGATCCAGATGATCAAGAGTTTCAGAGAATTCAAGACCCTGTTACAATTTTTTGTAAACGCTTGCAGGAGAACATTATGATGCTGCAAGCTGAGGTTAATCCCACACAGGCTACCAGAGTCCTCCAAACACTCTTTAAGATAATAAGGTACAGTAATCTAATTTGGTTAACTTCTTGCCTTTCTCCATACACGTAAAAAATTCTGGGCAGTGCATACCAGCTGGTTTTATCTTTTTAGAAACATCATGATAGGGTCGCGGTTATATTGAACTTGTTGCTCTGAAGCAATGTAGAACTCAGGTAGCACCTGAAGTAGATAGAAATGCATTGTTGGGTCATCTGTAGACCTTTATGCATTGAGTTGTTGATTGTGGCTTATCCATACACTTTTTTTGTAGGAATGTGCTTGAACACCCAGGTGAGATGAAATACAGGAAACTTCGCAAGGTACGGACATTGTTACCATTAATAGTCTTTCATTAAATTTAGCTTCAACAGGTGGAGTTTCCTCTTAAATATTTCTCCTAATAGCCGATGGACATACATTGCAGGCGAACCCCGCAATCCAGAGGAATGTGGCAAACTACAAAGGTATGCAACTTCCCGTACATTTGGATTCTGTATTTATTGACCTGGCTTGGGAAAAACCTTAATGGAACCCTGAAGGGTTGGATAATAATCACAGGGACGGTCATGCTTGTACATCTAATGATCGAGCTTTTGTAATAACCATTTTTTTTTTTTTGCCCTTTTTCAATTTTGCCATATCAGCTGCCATGGAATTCCTTCTCCTGATTGGCTTCAACGAAAGCGTCGTGGATGAAGTTGGAAAGCAAGAGACTTATCTTGTGCTGAAGCGAGATGATCCGGGCTTATTATGGCTTGCCAAGTCCACCCTTGAGACATTTGTTTCCTAAAGACACATTTCCAAGCAAAGAGTCTGCAATGTCTGTGTGTGTGATCTCTTCTGTATTGCGTTGCCTGTAATGCCTGCTTGGCTGCACTTTTTGCCTTACATTGTAACATATCCGAGTAGAACATTGTTGAATATATGATTACTTGGCTTAAGATCATGTCAGGTCAACATTGTAAATAAAAATGGCTGTTTTAGACTCCGCCGCCACTCACTGCCGGTCCAACGCCCTCATTTCAATTATAGTGCGGCTGTTCCATTTTTAGATTCAAACGCCGCCCACCAACAGTTTTTGGTGAAGTAATACTTATGTTATTCAAAGAGGTCTCAAGTTCGAACTGCATTTGCGTTTAAAATAACATACCAAAAAAGAGGTGCATATACCGTAAGAAAACTTTTGTATTGGATCACGCGTTCATGGACAAATATAACTTACAGAACTGAAACTAGAGACAGAAAAAGGAAACCATCTTTTATCACCCTGTGAAATCTTATAAGCTAAAAAAGTATGAGCAGCCACTCCCACTTTACATCCAGATATTAATAAAACTCATCCGAGTCGGGATACTATGCACCAACACTTTGATCCGCAAAAGGGGTTTAAGAAAACAGGAAACTCAAGAACTATCCATTGGAATATCACTGGGGTTTGAATTCTGCAGGTTTGCACTGAAAGCGCTTCCTGAGATGACATTTTGAGGCTGGCTGGCTCCGAATGTAAAGTCTTGAGGAGGAATGTCTAAGGGAGGCCGGGCAAAAATGGAGGTAGCGCCAACATTGTTAAATGCAGGTAGGGGAACTGGATCATTGGCTCTTGGGAAGCCAAAGCTAAACGAAGGTGGAGCTGCCGGTGGGAAGGCTGGCAAGGTTGGGTTGCTACTGTCAGTTGATCCAAAGATCTTTTCCTCGTACTCCTGCAGTTGACGGTAATTTGCTGCATCCATAAACACAAATGAAAGTCAGAGATGTATAATTGTTCAGAAGAAGTGACACTACCTTTATGCATGAATATTGCTAGGTAATATTCAGAAGGTTTGACAATCATGGAATTCCATTGCTTTCTGCTCCTCCTAAGAAATGCTGCAACAAATCTTCATTGCATACCTTCACTTAACTCAACAGCAGGTCTCCGTTCTTTCACCCACTGGTAACTCGGTGCAAGTCTCCATCCCCTCGATTTCATCAAATAAGCTATTACAATAGCTGGAGACCTGTAAGAATCAACATAGTTATTATCTCAAAAGCAAAACATAAAAAGATGATTTATCTTTCTTAAAAACCACTAGACTGGTGGTTTAGCAAAATATAAGGGTGGTGCCATTTACACACCCTTTTTTACCTTCCACACACCCCTCTAGCCATCAGATCGACTGAATTCAAGAAGATCAAAGGACAGAAATTAACAGGGGGTGTGTAGAAGGTAAAAAAGGGTGTGTGGATAGCACTACACCATATTAATTGCACAAGCTATGTGATGCACTATTTATGAAACAGTCTATAGCTCATGTGTGTGCATGTCAGTGCACCGTTATGTACACTAGTAACTAAAAAGAAAAAACTTGATTTTCAGTGGTTCACCTATTTTTCCCAGACATGCAGTGCACTAAAACGCGAGCTTTGTCCCTTTCACATTGCTCTGCAAGATTAAGCACAGTTTCACTTCGTTCAGTAGGAAAATTAAGCAAACAATGCAAATTTTGAATTGCTAATTATACTAAGAATATCCAAGCTAGCATCGCAATTCTGAAATTCAATAGTGAAGCCATTCGCGCTTCACTAGTAAGTGTTAAAATTTTCAGGTCAGTTACAGTAATTAAATGCTATAAATACACTTGAATGATGTTTTGCCACCAAAAAACACAATAGATCAGCAACTGCAAAGCGTGGACTAGTTAATTTTTGTATTAACTTAACCTAGTAGAGTGTGGTTCATGTGTCTCATCTAAAATTGATCAATTTAAGATTACTAGAAAGAATTCTTTCAACAAATTATCAGAAAGGTGCCAGACTGCCAGTACGAAAAAAGCCTGTCTCGTTATTCCAATCCTCCATAAGTCAAGATTGATTTATGGCCCTTTGTCCATATCTTGATTCTAATTCTCTATTGGGAAAGCTGACACATAAACCTATAAGGTTGCAAATCCGCTGAACCAGTGGAAGGTACCAGAATGCAAAAGGGGGGCAATTAGGCAAATGCGAATCAAGAAACCATTCGGTGGCGTGCTATCATAATGATCAAACATATCAAATTCAACCATCAATAATCTAATTACCAAAAATAAAAAAACTATTAATAATCCTATTCATTAAAAACTGATCCTTTTAGTTATGAAGATCCCGCATTGAATAACCCATCAACACAAATATTTAATGTTTCCATAACCAAGTTTCAGTGGCTCCGTATATTCTTTGACCTAAATACTATGTCAGGAGGAAAATGTATAGAAAAACAAGGAACCAATTGAAGTTGTCAATGTACTCGGATAAAATGAAAGTGACAGTGAACAATATGTTAAATGTGTGCATGTCAGTTACTGATGTAAACAGTAGGTCCCCACAGCTATATATAAAGACTGAGTTTGAAAGGGCAAATCTGTATTAGTGAAACATATTATGACAAATATCCAAAAATCAAAACCATACAACGAGCTGAAATCTAGAATACATTAAACAACATATGTGTCATTATGGTCACAAAGAGAGTACACACCTAAAAATTGATTTGCATCCTCAAATTGCAAAATTTTGTCATCTTGGAGGTAGTGATAAGTGAACGAATTCTTATAGAGATTTTGACAAGCAGGAACCGTCTGCACATAGAGGGAGAAAACATCACACAAGAACGTCAAGCCTTCGAATGTTGGAGACTGAATTGCTATTTCAACCAACACAACACAAGGTAAAAATCATTAAAATCAACCCAAAGATCATAAATCAGTTGATGTCAAGTAGTGAACAACTAAGTCATTATCCAAGTCCATATCTATTCATAACCCTAGACACAGCCTTAATCCGCCTTTCTTACTTCTCATCTTGAATTATGAATCTTCTACTGCAGAGGAGTTACCCATCCCGATGACCACTAAGCAGCATATCCTTGAATGCTACTATTCGCTTCTTCATGTTCTGCTATCTATCTCAACAGCCAACCATTTCAATCTAATAGACAAGATAACTTTTGATCTCAACCATTCAATTTAACAAGGGATGATCTTGTAGCTATCTCATTGACTTCCCTATTATTTATATAAACAATGCACTTCCGAATACTGCAAGTCCCCTCGCAGATATGATCGATCCCCTATCATATATAAGATTACAGCTTTAGTATCTCTTATCCATCCTAAATACAGTCTCCAGATGAAAGTCTAATTAGCACAACCAACATACTAAAAACGATTTCGGCTACAAACATCGAACCATTGAACTAAACTGATTCATTCCAAAGAGAAAAACCGGTCCAGAAACGCATTTTGTATCTACAATTCTATAACCAAGGCATAAAAATCAAAGGTACAAAATATTACATTTAGAACACGAGAGATTCCCTGAGTCTTGAGAAGTTCAGAGCGAGAAGCGTTATCGTAGCTGCCCAAATAGAGAAACTCCGGCAAGATCTCAGACGGAAAAGCACTAACTTGGATCGAAGTTCTCTCAGCTACCGCCGGCATTCGATGGCCGCAGACCCCACAGACCTCGCCCTCTTCGTATTTGTGATAGTGCCCACAAACCCCACATGGGTTCTCCCTCTCCCTCTTCCTCATAGCCTAGTTGCAGCGAGATTTCGCCCCGACCCAGATGAGAAAACGACTTCTAAATCACAAAACAAGCAAAACCCAGATCAAAAACCGGAGAAATCGAATTGGGTTCGTCAAAAATTGTCTTTTTTTTTTTTTGGTCAATTCAAAATTTGCGTCTTTGATAAAGCCTAAAGTGGGAAAAAAAAAAGAGCGAGAGTTACAGAGAGAGATGGGAAGAGAGAGAAGTAGGAGGCGTTACAAGGAAGCGTCGATTTTATCAGATTGATGAAGGTTATTGACCGCTCGGATTCGCGTTTTGGCTTTTGGCTTTTGGGCGTCTCTCACTGACAAAGCTGTCCTACCGCGGTGGGAGACAAAACAGTAGAAGAGAGAGAAAGCAAAGAGGAGATAGAGAGAGATCACTGCAGTACGTGTTTATCTTTATTGCACATATTATATATCATTCCGTATTTATAATGGAAAGAGAAAGATGAGAGAGAATTTATGGTTTGGTTTGATTTTGTATGATGCTCTGCTTCCTCCTGGTTCTTGTTAAGGCCGCGCAGAAAAGCCCAGATTTCCTTTTCTTCTGATTATTCAATCCACAGGAGGGTTTATTTCCCCCAAAGCCTCACCCATATTAGTACCCAATCATGGTGTTCCTTTGGACCACGTACTCCGGATTCTTGAAATTTGATCAAACGGCTAAAGTTATTATAACTTTTAAAACAATCTCTTATTTTTAACCGTTTGATCAAATTTAAAAGGTCTGAATTATTTAATGATCCCTTCCCTTGTTTGGGAGCCATTTACACTTTCCTCCAATAACATGATGACATGTGGATTGTTCTGTTCACGACTCATGATAACTTCTAGTGTTTTCATTGTCTTTTGTTTTTTTTGACAGAAACAACTCACAGTCTCACATGGATAATGGAGAAGCTTACCTGGAATTAGATGTCCCGGTAGCCATATTTCAACTTAATCATGTATTTATTTGTGTTTGATTTCTTATATGATGACAAAACTTTATTCAACGCTTATCTTTACGCATGGTAGTAATTCTTTCACCGCGACATTCCAAGTGTATAAAGTACTTCCCCCGTAACAAAGTCAAAGTTAATTATTGTTCACGGTTTGACATTTACGTAATTGACCAAAGCTTTTCAAATATTCCAATGAGAAATAGTGGGTTCTTTCACTATCTCAAATTTGCTTTTTCCTTCTTTTGTTGCTTCTAAGGCTCTAGTGATGGTGGACTTTTTATATCCCCACAACCAAGCCCAGATCCTCAAGCCCCCAATCCTTTAGCTGCATCACTTCTCTTGTAATTACCAGTTTCTCTTGCATTGTAATTTATGATGCAAGTTAGTTTTATTCAACAAAATGAAAACATGAGAGTCGAGCTCTTATCATAAATACAGAGGAAACAACACTTTACGATTATTTCTGCTTGAATCGTTTTGTGTTAAGACTCAAGTTCTATTGTTGTAGTATTGAGTTTAGGGTTATTGTTAAACTAAACAATAATCCAACTACAACAATACGAGTTATGACTATTGGTATCAGTATTTTGGTCAATTTAACATAAAAATATTATTTTGTTTTGTATATTCGAATTATTGTTCAATTCAATAAGTTTAGTATCAATATTTGTAAGCTCATAAAACAGCAACCAAGATATTAGTCTAATTTACTAGAAAGAGTAATGCTATTAAACACATAAAACTGACACAATTTATAATAAAGGTGTAATTCAGTTACAATATTGAGACGATTCATGTGGAACCACCAAAACATAATTGATTAAAACTATTGTGACGTCATATATCAATAACACAAAAACGTGACACGTGACACGTAAATATTTATCTACAAGACTTCATAACATTGTCACTGAAACTGTACACATGAGTGGCTCTCCTGAGTTAGGTGCAAGGCCCAAAATCAAGCGGCCCATTAAGATGTCTCAATGCAACAGTCGTCAAAAAGAGTTGAACATAAAATGCCATAGCCATTGTTGGCGCTTCGAAGAAAACAATGGCGTCTCCCGCTTGGCGCAAACTCTTCAGTCGTCGCATGTCCTCGTCCTTCTTCGCCCCCCCTCATCCTCTTCGTTCCCGCAGAGTCGTCGTCACTGGTACTCTCTCTTTCTCTCTCCCCCTCTCTCTCCTCTCTGTAATCATAGCTTGCTGAGCTCTGGTTTGCAGGGTTGGGCATGGTGACGCCATTGGGCTGCGGAGTGGAGACGACGTGGAAGAGACTCATAGAAGGCGAGTGCGGCATAAGGGCACTGACCCATCAAGATATCAAGATGAACGGCTTTGATTCAGACACCCAATCGTACACCTTCGACCAGCTCACCTCCAAAGTTGCTGCAATCGTACCCTGTGGAACCAAACCAGGTGAATTCAACGAGGAACTGTGGCTCAATTCCAAGGTAATTTGCTTAATTTTAGTATCAAATTTTGAAAGTTTCGCCATTTAGTACTACGATTTGCTGATATTTCTTCGCACTTGTAACTTGTAAGTGGAGGTCTTAGTTGGATAGTGAGTTCGATACCAATTTAGTATGTCCGACTCATTGTATAAAAAAATGTAGAGAGTTTCAGGCTTTTACTGAAATGTTTGAAATGTATGTGTATATTTTGTCAGGATCATCGTTCGATGGCGAGATTTATTGGGTATGCAATGTGTGCTGCTGAAGAAGCACTTAAAGATGCTAATTGGATGCCTACTGAGCCCGAAGAGAGGGAAAGAACGGTAATTTCAAATTTTTAAGTTTGTTCAAATTTAAAAAAGAACGAGGTATATTTGAACTTGGAGAATGACAGGGTGTCTCAGTTGGTGGGGGAACTGGAAGTATCAGTGACATATTGGATGCTGCACAAATGATTTGTGAGAAGGTTGGTTTTTTGTTTTGCATTTTGGGTTGTCATAATATTTATGCAATGATCTGGGAATGGTAGAAAGAACAAACTTGATATGTGCTGTTTCTGATTGTGTAACCAGCGTATTCGACGTCTTAGTCCTTTCTTCATTCCTCGGATACTAATCAACATGGCATCTGGTCATATCAGCATGAAATATGGATTTCAGGTACGTGAACAACTTTCTGAGATACATTCTGTTCTGATGTATTATTCAAGGACCAATGTGGACCGAGATGTAGGTCATTAGCTGTCATGTTGGTCTTTTTTCAAGTTTGAAGCTGGCACCTAACCGTTGAAGTAACCAACAGGGTATAGTTGAAAGAGTGCCAAGAACACAAATGACTGCAACTCATTTCCCTCACTAAGCCATGAATTATATTCTTCTCTTTTCAATTTTCAAACCGAAAAGTCTCTTCTTAGTTTGAAGGTCATACAGACATATTTTCTTGTAGTAAAGCATGCTTCTGGTGTTGTTTTTAAGCTTAGGGACCAAATCATGCTGCAGTAACAGCTTGCGCTACTGGAGCACATTCTCTGGGTGATGCCACAAGGATGATTCAGTTTGGAGATTCAGATGTTATGGTGGCTGGAGGCACAGAGTCTAGCATTGATGCTTTATCAATAGCAGGATTTTGCAAGTATGTTGTTCCACTGCTATATAGAATTATAAGCCTTTATGTGACTTAGCCATGTACCGCACACATGTACAATCTTCTGATACCGAATTTCTTACCTGCATTTGTTGTAACGTATTTGGCTCTACTTACAAAAGTAGCTTCACTTTTAAGGGCGTTGTACTTTGTTTATACTTTTGTCTTGTTTAAAGGAGTCTTCTTCTTGTTTTCCAGGTCAAGGGCTTTGACCACGAAATACAATTCCTCCCCACAAGAAGCATCACGACCTTTTGACTGTGGTCGGGATGGGTTTGTGTAAGTACATATTCTTAAAAAGGTTTGTTTGCATGATTTGTGTGTTTCTGTTTTGTTTCTTGATGCTTACTGTTGTCTAACCTGTACTTATGATCCCAGAATCGGTGAAGGTTCTGGTGTTGTGGTTTTGGAGGTAGTTCGGACGTCTATTTCTAGAAAATTAGTTCTTTAAAGTCTTCTCTTGTTTCTTTCAGTTTTTAGTTGGTGTATTTACTATTGGGTTTGTATTTTCCAATGAAGGAGCTTGATCATGCAAAGAATCGAGGAGCAAAAATATATGCAGAAATTCGTGGTTATGGCATGTCAGGTTGTTTGTCATAAACTAAAAATATTGTATATGTTTTGTAATGCTCCGGTAATTTACTAGTTTCTGAAGATAGTGAGCCTGTACAGGTGATGCGTATCATATTACTCAACCACATACTGATGGAAGAGGTGCCATTCTGGCCATGACACATGCCCTTAGACAGGTAAAACCTTAATGGGTGTATATGCCATTCTCAAAATCTTTTTTTTTTTTTTTTTTTTAATCTGAGTCGCACAATTTATATCTGAGGATGTCATTCCAAAAGTAGAAAATCTATATCCAATGATGATAGTTAAAATTACTTGGCTATTAAACTTCAAAAAGTTGATAGGTACCGTATGATTGCTCTAACTTGGCCCCTAGAAAGTTTATTGTTTGTGGTATGATCTATTAGGTGTCCTGAGCAAATTCTTCATCATATAGTTAAGTTTCTGTGGTTTATAGTAATGCACCTGCTCTTGACTCGCAGTCAGGCCTTCATCCTAAACAAGTGGATTATGTAAATGCGCATGCTACATCGACACCTTTGGGTAAGTGTTTATGACCTTTAGAAGTTGCTACAACTTCGTGTTTTCAGCTGTTCGCTTTAGAGTTTCAGGATGTATTAGAACTAGTATGGATGTGGCTCATCTTGTTTTAATGTACTAATCAGGTGATGCAATAGAAGCCAATGCTATCAAAACCATGTTCTCTGACCATGTGACATCTGGTGCTTTAGCATTGTCCTCCACCAAGGTATAGTATTTTCAAGTACCTTAGCTTCCGAAAAAAAAAAAACGCAACTCATGAAGTTCAATATTAGGAACCTGTCGGTTGTATCTAGGTGGTGTTGTATAGTTGTTTTATTCGTATACATTTAAATTTCAGGGAGCTGTTGGTCATCTCCTTGGTGCGGCTGGGGCTGTTGAAGCAATATTTTCTATTTTGGCCATACACCATGTAAGTTGCTCCTTTGATGATTGAGATGGAAACAAATATCTGCAGAAAACGTAGCTGACTGATAATATATAGTTTCTTTGAAGATTCATGACAAAGTCATGCACCTAACCTTTCCCGGTAGGGCTAGCATGCTGAATCAATAGGGCGATTTAAATAAACGAGACAAAACTACATTACCTGTGTTCTCACCTGGATAATATAGTAAAGTCGACATTTTGTGGACTTGTGTTGTTGCATATCATGCGAACATATTAGTGGATTTGTGTTGTTACACGTCTTTTGATTTGTTGCTTGCAGGGAATTGCACCACCAACGCTTAATCTGTCACAACCAGATCCAGTATTTAAGGATGCTTTCATGCCTCTGACAACTTCAAAGACCATGCCAATAAGAGCAGCTTTGTCGAACTCTTTTGGCTTCGGAGGAACAAATGCATCCCTGCTGTTTACATCTTCTCCTCCTTGACAAAATGGTTGGCGAAATCTTCTCATCCAGATTGTGTTTGATGTAGATGTTTCTCCGAATGGAAAAAGATCTGCAACACTCAAAATCCCATCTTGCATAACTGAAGCCGATGGAATTCCCGAGTGTCATTGCTGTATTTCTGAATTGTTTCCCTTGATTTCGAAAATTGGACTGGTTTAGTGTAGTGGTAGTACTCTGTAATCATGGTTAGGTTGATTAGAGAATCTTGACAACATATCTTCACTAACAGAATCGACAGTGAGGAGGAACTGTGATGAACGGAAATAAGTGAAATATTTTGCTATGGCAAACAGAATGTTGGGGGTTGACCGTAAACGGCCGCCAGACGGAGGAGATGTAGCCCCGTGATGTGGTTCTACTATTCCACTTCTTTTATATAAAATATGTATTCATTTTTTCAGTACTATAATTTATGTCGATGAAATATCAACTTCGTCACCCACCCGCTCTTTCTATTTCCTTGTCATAGCTTTTGCAAATACGTTTTCTTGGCCTATATAGATCCTTGTATTGCTAACGTTGTCGTTAACTCATAAGAGTGGAGAGATCAGCATATGATCGAACGTTGTATCGCATGTGAATTCGCTACAGTTTTGATAAATAATTTGTCGTAGAATGTAAGAAGTCTCACATCGGAATTCTGGTTTCACTTCTAATGTACGATGCTTTTTGTGATAAAACTTCACACCTGCTTGGCTAACAGGTGGATTAGTTAGGAACAATAGTTTTTGCACTCGAAATGATCGAAAGTATTATCCTACTCGAGATTAGTACAAGCCATTTAAGTGGACCTTCAAGTGTTTTGGAGCAACATTAACAAGAATCTCGGCCGGCAATCAAACCAGCATTTTCCTCTGTTGTGAAGCTGTGACTTGCCTTTTGCTTCTTCTCTGTGATCTTGTTGTATTGAAGAAAGCATGGCAGACAGATTCAGTAATCTTCCGAAAGAAATCGCTCATCATATTCTATCCTTCCTCTCATTCAAAGACCTCACTCAGGTTGGCTCCGTGTCCAAAAGAAGCCAAGGGTTTTGTCTGTCAACTCCGTTTTTGAATGATGTGCGTTTGCGTTGCAGCACAAGCAAAGGAGTGCTGAATTCTATCGACAAATTCTTGAGGCAACGCGGGGATAATAAGATGTTGAGCTTCCATTTTTCTTGGAGAAATATCGATATACATGAGAATGCTGGCCGTATTGAATGCTGTTTTTGTGACGAAGAAAAGTTTCGACTGAGTAAATGGATCGAGATTGCAGTGAGGTGCAATGTTGAAGTGGTTGATCTTTGGATTGCTTCAAGTGTTTGGTATCCAAAGCTTCCTACTTCACTCTTTCTTTGCCCATCTTTGAGGTCTCTGGTTGTGATCAACATGGAGTGTTATATCAGCGACGCGGCTGCTTCCTTGGATTTTTCGTCTAATCTCGAATACGTTAACTTGAGTAGTGTTGTGATAGTAGGAGATGTGTTCTGGAAATGGATCTCACATTGCTGCCGATGCCTCAAGGACTTGCATCTTTATCATGTTTACGGCTTAAAGGACGTTAACTTAGAAAGCTCGTCTTTGGAATCGTTTAGTTTTGTGTTTCTTGATCTTTTCAGTGACTACGGCTGCAGTCTTAACATTTCAGGCGACAAAATTGAAAACGTATGTATCAACTTGGTTGGTAGCTGTTATCCCAGCAAGAAATCCTTCAAGTTTTCGACTCCAAATCTTAAACATCTGCAGTGGCTTGGGAATTTCGGCACTCACGTAGAACTTGGAAAACTCGCGGGCTTGGAGAGGGCTGAGATTTCTTCGACTTGTGGAGTGGTTGACTTCGATGTCTTGTTTTGCTTTCTTCGTTGCATACGCCGGGTTAGAGTTCTTATTGTGAACGACGAAATTGTCAAGGTAGTAGACGTTGAACTTTACAAACTTAGTAAATTGAATCAGAATTCGGTTTTCTGCAGTGTTTTATTTGCTGACATTTCAGACTTTCTCGATGGACTCCTACGTGCCTCTACAATTAGACGGTGTTTGTGATTTGTCGATTCAAACTCTTAACTTGAATGATGGCTTCATCCCTGCACTCGTCGCTCTTTTACGCGGAATGCCTAGTTTGAGATCTTTGTCTATAAATGCTAGGAAAGTACAGGATTGCGGCAGTACTAGTACCGAATCGAATGTAAGTCGAGTTCTTCGTTTCGTCTTCTAAATTGTAGCACTCTATCTGTTTGTATTTCTGAGAATTTTCCGACGTGTTACCGCCTTTTAGTGTTCAGGGTTTGCTATGGGATACTGGAAGTTGCAGAATCTTGCTTTTATTTCTGAAATCCAGGAGGTAGCCTTGCAGCTGTACCATGGGTCTAATGCTGTCGAGTTTGCAAGGTATATTCTCGAACATGCTCCAAATTTGGGGAAGATGGCGATATATCATTTTCCGGATCAACTCGATGCTGTGTTGAAGTTACAGAGCACGATGATATCCAGTGCGCCGGTTTCCTTCCATGAAGTCTCAGAAATTTGACGTCTGAACCGGATTCATATGTAGTTTTACAGTTGGGTTTCAGATTTCAAACTCTACTTTGAATGAAATGAAGACTGCTTTAGATTCAGCTCAAATTTTCTCTAGCAAAATAATTCTTCTTCAATTCTTAAACGCCTAATCTTCTTGCGTGCACATACAACGCGAGCGAGCTCTCACACACACGGACACACAAAGTATCATGGTGTTACTATAATTTAGTTCAAAGGAACGTGCGAGGATCTTCGAATGGAGGTTTGTATTGATAAGAAACTTGTCCACGATCACAACCTAGCAATGATATAACTCAAACAGAAGCCTAGAATTGATCTACCGAAAATCCGATTACATTTTTTCTCTATCGCTATACATATTACATGTAGTAATGGACAAAATGATCTAAAAATTTAGGAATCTAAGCGTGGATGGATTTGAAACCTTCTGTAAGAGGGATCACTTTTGCTGACAGCTTGGACTGCAACTTTGATACAGCTTGACGAATGTCCTGCAATTGAAGGAGAACAATTCATTGAGTTATTTCTGAAACAATCAAATGATCATCCGATATACATGCAGAATATCCATATGCAACAACATGCCGTAAGCTAGGACGCTTTCACTCAATGTTACCAATAGAAACAAAAACAAGAAGACATGGTTCAGATAAGCGATTACCTCCAGATGGTAGCGGGAGGAAAAATGGGTTAACAGAACTGACTTATTTCTTATCCATTGGGCGTTCTCAATGATCTGCGTTAACAGAGTAAATTTTACAATTACAATTTCGGTGAAAAGATGCAGTCTAGTCATTAGTCAAAACATATACAAAACCTGCAGGGACAGACCAAACTATCTCAAAAATCATTAAAAAAAACCCGTAGAAAAAAGCTAATTGATCACATGCCTCGTCTATATGAGTATGACCATGTTGTCGTGCATGCTCAATGCTGCACCCTTCATCCAGAAAAGTTGCCTGTCAAAGATCTCATCAGTTAAAACATATTTTTCACCAAATTATGGAACTGTGTTTGTGTATATTCACTTCCATAGAGATGAATAAAAATTTAGAAAATGAGTTTATATGAAATCACTCTACCATAATGTTGAGCCATTTCCGAAAAGATTCATATTTGATATATCCTTCTTCACAACAGACCTAAAATTACCAATGCCTACAACCACTTAACCTAGAAAATTTCCACAATGAATCTAGAGACTGCCAGTAAACGATGATTAATGGGATTAAATTCCCGGTCTACTACTGAGGGCCAACAATTAAATACCTAGCAATTTATGCATGGAATCCACTGTAATTATGTTGGTCAGTGAACTCTCCTAAACATGTATGATGCGACTCCGGAAATAGCCGTCAAGGAACTAAATATGCAGTGTTTGAATCATATCAAAAGCAGATGATTATATTTCTACATTTTATATCCAACAAAAAGCACTCCTAAAGGATAAGATTTCTTCACACCTCAGTTATAAGAATCTTTGCCCTCAAGGCATCAGCATTGCGTGGATCCAGCATATAATCTGACGTTGTATCCCCTGTGAAGGCCACTTCTGGTGACAATATAACGTCTGTAATCTAGAAACCAAAAGTCAAAATCAATACCAATTAATCAAGACAAACACAAAACTATTATGCAGCTATTACAAACCTCAACACCAGACTTCTTCAATTTCTCAATCTGCTTCCCTTTTAGATGAATGTACTGCTTCTTCAGCTTTTTTCTAACCGAGTAAATCACATAACCCTGAAAATTAAAAATAAAAAGAAGTTACATGATATTCTGAACTCTGAGTTTTAGGTTGCATACACGTGCTATACTGGACTATCTATAGTAGCAAGCAACCACATCAAGAACGAAAGGCCTCACTCGTAAAGACTTTATAACCCCAAATAATATGAGTCTGGGACGTAGTGGATATGCTTCCAAGACCCACCACATGAATCCAATACCATGGAAATAATGATTCCTGATCTTATAGTAAAAAGAAAGAAGCCATGGCCCATTTGTTGCATATGCATCTATTAAAAATAAACTAGTTCTACCATTTTGAGCATTTACATTTGTAGTTCCAGAAAAATTTCAGTAAACTATGCAGATGCACTATAATTTGATGAAGCACGCACCTGGCTAGGTATAGCATGTTGAGTCCTAAATGGCCGGACAACAAGGTTATTCCGCAATTCATATGTTTCACCTGAATTCAAATGTGTAATGTTATCACCTCAGGAATGAAGAGATATAAACAATCCCACTAAACTATTGCTACATACCAACATCCAATGCTACCAAATCAAGATTCAATTCTACATGACCCATCGTTCTGTGAATGTCTATTAGCTTCTCCACATCCTCTTTAATACAAGGAGGCACAAATACCGTTGGAGGTTTCAAGTTGTACAAACCACGGCTGGCTACATACATTGGCAGCCCACCCTGAAACGTTAAATACAGTTCAAGCACATACTAACATTTCAACCTCCAAATGAAGCAAAATGGCTCAGTCTTAAAAGTAATCAAATGTGGATGCAGCTAGTCATCGGAACATGAATGCATGGTTGATGTTGGAAGCCACCAAATTTGCTTTTACACCAACCTAAACTATGAGCCTGTTTGGAAGTGCTTTGCAAATGGCTAAATTCGCTTTCACATAACCAAAACTGCTTATGAACATTTAATGGATTAAAAGTGCTTCTAGGTTTCCAAGTGCCTTATGGAAACACACTTGTATGATAAAGGCGTTTTTAGTAGAAGTGCTTCTTAAAGAATAATTTCCAAACTAGCCCATAACTTACAGAACTTCCAATAAAGTCACAAATTTTCAATAGTTATAATCTAACACAATCACTGACTTATAAGAAATTGTGGATACGTAGATGGTTGACTTGAAAGCCACCAAATCTGGAAGTGCTTTTAATACGGCTAATAGCACTTTCAGATGACGCATAGCGCTTAAGTGCTTCTGTGTTTCGAAGTGTTAAAACTTCAAAACACTTGAATTTTCCATTAAAAATTTGAATGTGCTTCTATAAAAACGTTTCTAGCAAAAGTGCTTTTCAGAGAAACATTTATAAACGAGCCCATAACTTACACAACTCATAACAACAAAGTCCTAAACTTTCACTCAACTATAAATTAACACAACCATTAACTTGTATAATTGAACTGAAGCAAACAAATTAATGGATACCCAAAAGAGCAAAGCAAGAGGAGCTCACAATATGATCAAGATGGGCATGAGTGATGAACAAAAAGTTCTGATGAATGGCCCTGGAGGGGCACCTCCCGATGTCGAAAGCGCATTTGAACTCCGGGACGATAATGCAGGTCTCATGGCCGCCAATCGAGAGACCCTCGATGTTCAAGCCCTCCAAGTCCATACCTTTGCGGAGAACCTGGGACCGGGCAAGCCGGTACTCTTCGTCCTCGATTGCCCGACCGAATGCGGGCAGTAAAGGCGACCCTTTGAGGGAATTTACGGAATTGGCATGGGTTTGCAGTGAAGCTCTCTGGGGCTTTGGCGTTTGGGAGATGGGTTGGTGGAAGGGGAAAATTAGAGGGGCTTTGGAGGGTGAAATGGTCAGAGAAATTTGCATCTTTCTTGTGGGTTTGTGGTGAGAGTGAAGCTCATAAGATAGCAAAACCGAGGAGAGAGAGAGAGAGAGAGAGAGAGAGAGAGAGAGAGAGAGGGTTTTAGCGAGGTTTTTCTCAGAGTCGAGAGAGTGGATTTTGTTGCTCTGTCTGGGTAAACCGGAGATATTTTGGGGGAGCTTTATCTAATTTTACGAGGGAGAAGACACCAGACGGTGCGTTTTGGCTGTTGAATGGCGGGGTTCACAATTTTGGAAGGACCCCAAAACGGTGCGTTTCGCTGCGAGTATGATGAAGTGGAATTTGTTTGGAGAAGCTTGCTTCTTTCTTTCTTTTTTTTTTTTTTTTGTCTTTTTGGGGGGTGGTGGGGGGGGAGGAATTGCTTCTTTCCTTGTTAGGAATCGAAGGCTTCACTTACCTATTCAATATAACATTCTAATTTTTTAAGATATACTCTCTTGTCACTAATTCACCATGTGACAAGCGTCTATTAAATGAGCGCGTCTCACTTTTTAAACACATGACAAACGTCTATTAAACGAACAGTATGACTATGTTTTAGTTACAAAAGTGAGTCATTCAATCTCGAGGGCTTGGGGTGAAATTTTGTTTTGGCACAGCTACAAGGGTGAGAGGGTTTGAAACAATCATGGGGCCACGGGGTACGTTTGGTGGAACATGATACAAGGGCTAGAGAAATTTTATGGACGGACAAACAAGACGCGTAATTTGAACGCCCGTTCATAAGTTTTCTTCACAAACTAGAGCCCATTATGGACCTACGTGTTCTATTTCTCTCAAGAAACAGATTTTACCCTAATCTCCAATTGCTTGGAGTTCAAGGCTCCTACCCTTTATTGTAGCAGTAGTCTTATAAATTAGAACTCCAACTCTTCAAAATCCCATTAGATTTCAATTATGTCTGCCAAGAGAAAACCATGAGTCGACATCTCAAAAAACTCTAAACAGATAAAAGTTGGAAGATTCGAAAACGGGACGAATTAAAGGAAGACAAAGATGATCAAAGCACCAAGGATGGCGAAACACTATGGCGGCCTCAATCACCAGACCTTGTTATCCATCGAATCCTCCGACTCTCTTCCCACTGAATCCGCGGTCCGAATGAGCTTTCTTTCCTAGCAATGGGAAGCTGTGTAGTCTTCAGTCCCTGTATTGGATTTCGACGAGGGAAACATTCATCATACACTCGACAAAAAGCCAAGAAAGTTCATCAAGATTTGGGAAAGGTAATGTGGGTCAAATCCGTGAGAACGACAAGCAGCTCTTGAAAAGTTGTCCCTCAAAACTGTGGATTTGGAAAACTCCGATCTCGTCATCTTTGCTTCGTGCATTTCCATCGAGCATTTGTCATTAACGTCATGTGTTACGCGGAAGATTCCGAGATGAGGGACTCCTTCCTTCGGATGGCACCTTTTTGCAAACATACCACAAATTAAGAAATGGACCTGAAATGGAAGACCAATGGTTTTTCGTTGTTTTCGCTTTTGTAGTTTAGGGTTTCATACAATCTTCTTCATTTTTTCGAAGTTTAGACTTTCCGTTAGTCTCTAGCAGCATGCGTAAAGCCATGTAGCAAGTAGTTTTCTCCAACTAAAACATGTACACCGGTGTTTTTACACACATTGAACAAGTTATATGTTACAATTTCACATTCAACGAGCGGAAGGGTTCTCCTTCCCTCTGAACTTTACATATGAACATTGAACTGCGACATACAAAGAGGGAATGCTGAGGCCTTGAATCCTCATAAGCAAAGACCAAGTCAAGGATGATGTATGCGTTTAGACAATGCTGTGCAGAAGCCAATTAAGATTGTGTGAATGTGATGCCTCATATATTACATCGCTGCAGACCATGACTCTTGAACTCGAGCAGACTAGTTCAGCGTTTTGAAGGGTGAAGCCGTGAACGATTGGTAAAGGGAATCCCTTTCCGAGATGCGAGTTCACGTATGGCAAGAAAACAGTCTGAATAATTGTCCACATTACTGGCTGCAATGTAAGACATATACAACGGTTAATAACTTAATGCAGGAACTAACTTTAGTTTGAGTAAGCTTTTGTGAAACCTGAATACCTGTACTAGATACAACCGAAGATTTCCAATATTGCTCCACTTCAACGACATTGAAAAGTCGTTCAATTTCACGCTGCCAGCCAAGTTATTGCCTGAGATTTTTACTGAACCGGAACCACGAATGACCTAAAAGAACACCAAACTTTACTATTGTTTGTTTTACACAATTATCATGCGTAATTACCTATTCAAAGGAAAGATTATCATGTGATATACTTACCAATGAGATGCATGCAACTGGTATTACTCTGTCTTCTTCCAATACATCGATTATCAGGTCCGAGTAAATGGTAGCATCAATATTATGCTCTGAAATCCTCACGACTGGAGGAGAATATAAGGATATGTTCAAGTCCATATCATGGTTTGGGTATTTCTTGTATAGTTGGGGAATAATAAATCTCCATCCGGCAGTGTTCAAAAAAGACTGATCTGGTATTTTATCTACAATCCATTGCATAAATTCTGCCTGGCCAAAGATAGACACTGAATGATAAATACTTTGAACACATTTTTACGCTTATCGGCATATAAACACAACAGAACTCTAAGAAAATACACAAATATTTCCAATACTTACATTAAAATAGGCAGCTGCTACAGAGTTGAACACTGCCTCATCCAGTGAAATTCCGAGCATTTTAGATGGATCTGAGCAGGAAACTAAGGGTTGTGCATCCTTATTGCGGTACTCAGAGAGTGAATCCTTATTGTGGTACTCAGAGACTGAAGCATTTCTTCTTCCAAATAAACCATTAATCTCAAACCCTATGGAAGAATTGCTCAATACCGGATCATTCACAAAAGTCATATTCAAAGCAGTATTATCATCCAACGGCACCTCCTTTGGAAGAGCTTGCATAAAAGAATCGAGCTTTAAAACGCCATCTTTGAGTTCCTTGGTCATAGAAGTTTCCACTGCAGATCCTATTTGCTCTTCAAATGCATCAATCATCCTGAAGGATGACAAGGAGATGGATTATTAATGAGAATAAATTAAATTCTGATCTTTCTCTTGAACTAAAAGGGGCGTTAGTCAGACAGCACACAATGATAAGGAAACCAAAATACCGGTAAATCTTGAGACACTTAGTTGAACCCATTAAGCATAAAAATTAACCAGTCAGTGATGAAGCAAACATCCAAGGAAAGTGGTTTACTAAAAACTTGTCCATAGTAAAGAGCAATTAAGCACACACCAAACTTTGGTACTCTAGCTTTATAGAAGCAAAAGGTTTTCCATTCAAGAAATACCAAAACAACAGAAAAAGACCAGTTCCAGAAAGTATATGTTTTAGGAAGAGATATTCGCAAGAAACGGCTGCTTAATTACAGTATTGATTTCGGAGTCTGTAAATTTTGTGGTAGCCATTGAAAAGATCGTTTCTGGTGGATGGAATGGAAAGAAAAGTATGGCACATAAAAATCCTGCAATTTCTTTCTAGATGTTTGTGGAACACCAGCATAATAATAGTTTTGACTGCTGGAGCCAGGGGAACAACAATTACAAGAGTACACAGTTCTCCACAACCAAACAGAAAATTGCATACCCTTGATAAAGCCAAGAGGCTCCTCCATCCAATTTTATGGATATCTCTTTAACGTAACAACCACAATCGTTAAGGGTAAGCTTCAAAGTTCCCTCCTCGATCCCCAAGCCTAATGAGAGCCCAACTTCCAAGCCTTCAACCTTCAAGGGAACAAACTCAAATTCATTAAAAGGTCCAGAAAAGGAAATAAGTTTTCATGTCACAACTACGTTTCAAAATAAACAGCTGCATGATTCGATCAATAAATATGTGTAAGCGCAGGCGCACACACACATACAGTCTTTCTTTCTCAAAGTTCAATAAATCTTAAGAAACAAATAAACGAGACAAACAAGCTAAACCAGCAATCACACTGTTCACTCTCTCAACTTTTTCTGGCCTGAACAGGCCATTTTAATACTCAAAAACTAAACAAAAGCACCTCCTTTATTCGAAACTGGACATGCACAAGCTATACAATGGTAATAGCACCAATTTATTCCCCAACTGCATCATCATACCAGACAATTATGTTCTTCTCTACCACTAACTCCATTCATACACAAAGAACAATAAAGCAACTTAATTTACAATTAATCATACTTATTAGCAAAATCCCAATTGCATATATAAAAAACTATACAAATTTCACCCATCAATTTGCAGAAAACCCCAAAAATTAACCCCCAAAAAAATTAATAAAGCAAAATTAAGCCATACCTGAATCGAGGCACGACCTTCATCCGAAACAACAACGGGAGCAATCCAAGTACTGTAGGAATAGTGCCAATTCATGCTCAGATTGCAGGTGACCCCCGAAGCAATAATGGCGATTCCGTCGTCTCCCAGCTCGAAATGCGACGGACCCACATCGATTCCGTAGATTGTGATGTTGGAGAGCACCATATTAACGTTTCCCAGAAACGGGATTCTCTTGGATTTCGAAATCTTGGGGAGCTGGAGTGGAATTATGGAGGAAACAGCCTGAGTTACCAGCAAGTCCTTGAGAAAATCGAGACCCTTTTGGGAGATGACGACAGACGTGAAGGCTTGGTCAGCGGCTTGAACTTGCAGGTGGGGCGGCGGTGCGAGGAAGAAGGAAGCTATGAGGAGGAAGAGAATAGTCGGTGGCGCCATTGAAGTCTCTGGAGAAGAGGAGAGAAATTTTTATCTTCTTGTTTTGGCTATATGGCGCAAGGGGAAACGTGGAAAAGGGCGCAAACTTCAACTAACTTAAACAAAACTCTTGGTATGAAATGTCCTAAACACCCCCATAGCTTCTGGTTTTGTTTGTGGCCTGTGGGTCCATGGTTGGATTAGTGCTAGGGCAATCTTGAAATTTTAAAAATAAAAGAGGGTAAACTTTCTGTTGTTTAATTTAAATTGGTGTGTCATATTCACATACATTTTTTTACTTCTCATCCATCTTTTTAATTTTCGATCGTCGGATCGGATGAATTTAAGAAAAGCAAGGAACAGAAATCAACAAGAGGTATGTGAAAATCAAAAAGAGATATGTGAATAGCATGCCCTTTAAATTATGTGATTTACTAATTATTAAATATTGTACTAATTTTATCAAAAAATATTTCTTTTGCTCTTAATTTCATCAAACTAGCTTCTCGCTCGATATTAATTTATTATGATTATTGTATTGTGGGATCTAATTTAAATTGCATATATTTAAAATTTTAAAAGAAATTATCAAAAAAGTTGAGAAAAAAAAGAAAAATGTTGTTGAATCGTATCAAATTGGGAAACTACGTTGCTTCCATATATTGACTATTGAAGTAGAGGGACTAAAGTGGAATTTCGCTCTACACTTGTGCGAATAACATATTACGCTTTGTCGTTGAATTGCAGAAGATAGACACAGATTCAGAGTTTGACCTATTTTTCATTCTTCTGGAGTTGTAGATATTTATTGTTTTTACTAGAAAGTTAGAAACTTTTCTAATATACGGGGGTGGGATTCGAATTTGGTGCAAGGGTACGGGCACGCTTTTTTGACCAACTGACCTAACCCACGTATGCTTTTATAAGGAGTAATCCTACTGCTCCGAAAGTTTTAAGTCCTTTCTATTTTAATGACAATTTTAAGCTGGAAAGAGTGGAAAAAAGAATGTGATTAGTGTCTGAAACAAAAACAACGCAGAAATCAACAAAGAAAAGGAATAAGCATTGAAGACATTTTTGTAATTGGTTATGGCCAAAAGTACTGTATGGTTTATGAAACACCGTTTGTATTTAGTTTTCTGTTCCCTTCCATCTATTACCATATTCCTCTAACCGGTCGATCTTTTGCGATCTAGGCTTGACCAATTCGATAGTTTTTAGGAGCGGGCGATTGTCTGATCTTATTGCACAGCTTCAGGATATACTGAAGGGCGTAAATGAAGCCGATATCTTGCCGGAGAAGTTTGATAGTGCAGTTATCAGAGCTCAGGTATTTCATCTTGAATTCAGTTAGGTTTTATACTTAAGTAGATTCAAAGTTTGCTAGAGATACCGTGTAAAAGTTTGTTTATCATTCTTTTGAACTCTAGAAGTTGACGGTGAAGGTGCTAGGTTATTTTACCGCTACTTTTATAGTTTTGTATTTTGCTAGATACATAAATCTTTGCAGGATTTGTATAACTTAATACTTTCATGTTTTTTTTACTTTCAGATTCAACAATCGGCTCGAGAAATCGGGGAGTTAACCTCATCTGGCCCTATAACTGTCTACAAAGAAAATTCTTGCTCTAGTGGTATAAACATTTCTTCAGGCTTTATAACAGTTTTGTGATTTCCATAGATTAGGCTTTGTACAAACTGTTCGGAAATCACCAATTGGTGCAGTTTTAGTGTCTGCCCAGGAATCATCGGGACTTTATTTCGATAGATATGCTCACACATTTCACGTCAGCGCAGGGAGTTATGCTTCATATTTAGTTCCAGCAGCTGCACTTGGTGCAATGGGCTATTGTTACATGTGGTGGTATAGGTACCTCTCTGAAAATTTGTCGTTGGAATCACACACACATTCTATTTAGTTCTGCACTTGTAAGGAATTGTATCAGCTGATCTACGGGTATATCGTGATATTGTACAGGGCTGGTCATTTTCTGATGTGATGTATGTAACAAGGCAGAATATGGCAAATGTTGTTGCAACTGTGTCCAAACAATTAGAGAATGTGCATGAAACATTGGCTGTAAGTCAGATGTTTTTGGCCACCGTGTGGTTGGCTTTTCCAGATGGTAATCCTTAAAAAGCTCTGCAGCACGGTAATGTCTTGACTATCCTTTTTGCAGAGTACAAAAAGGCATTTTCAAAGAAGCTGGAAAACTTGGATTTTAAGGTGGAGGAGCAGAAGGAAATAACGCAGCTCATTGCAAATGATGTATGTAACAATATATTTACGTACTTAATGTAATAAGACAGAAAAATGCTGTCCAGTCGAGAGATAAGGGGATCTTATTATTGACACAGGATTAGATGGAAACCTCAACCATAGAATACAAGTTGGATGGATGAAGTGGAAGAGTGCATCCAGTGTGTTGTGTGACCGTCGTACGCCATTGAAGCTCAAGGGAAAATTTTATAGGACGGCAATAAGATCGGCAATGCTTTATGGCACGGAATGTTGGGCGGTGAAGCAACAACACGTACATAAAATGGGTGTAGCGGAGATGACAATGTTTTGTTGGATGTGTGGGCATACGAGAAAGGATAAGATTAGAAATGAGGATATCCGAGGTAAACTAGGAGTAGCCGAAATTGAAGGAAAGATCGAGAGAAAATCGGTTACGGTGGTTTGGAAATGTGAAACGAAGGTCTATTGATGCTCCGGTTAGAAGATAAGATCACATGACAGAGGTTCAAGGCCCAAGGGGTAGAGGAAGACCTAGGAAGACTTTGGAAGAGACTTTAAGAAAAGACTTAAGAGTACTTGGATCTAACGGAAGACGTGACACAGAACCGAGCACAATGGCGTTCTAGGATTCATATAACCGACCTCACTTAGTAAGAAAATGGCTTTGTTGTTGTTGTTGTTGTTGTTGTTTGCACTTCCACTTCCCCTTCCTTGGCTGAATTATAAAAATACATTTATCTTCCATACTAGCAACTAGTAAGCGCATCACTTTTTGATATAGAATTCCTCTCGTAGCATCAGCATCGTAGTGCCATTTGGAATTTCGGAAGGTCTTCGTAATTCAGCGTAAGGGGATAATGTTGATGACAAGTACTGACTAGTCGACGCTCATATTCGCATACAGGTCAATGAGGTGAAATCAAACCTTTCTCAAATTGGGTTTGCTGTTGAATTGATTCATCAAATGGTCTCTGGGTTGGTGAGTTGATATTCGCTCTCTTATATATAATTTTGTTTCACTCTGCCATGATGTAAATTTATCAGATTACTGATGTTGTATTTGTTAATTGGCACAACAGGAAGGGAAGGTCGATCTTATTGAGAGCAAACAGGTTTAAACTTCGAAATGCTTTTCTTATTTGTTACTGATGTTGTATCAGATTACTGATATTGTATTTGTTAATTTTCCGCAATGCTTTTCTTATTTGCTTGTAACATGTTTAAACTTCGAAAAATACTTTAGGGCCTACAATTCTTCGCTGACAATGAAGAGCGGAGCACGACTGAGAAATCAATGACAAAACAGAATGATCCCAACATCTTCCCTGGAGAAAAAGTTCCAGAAATAACAACAAGAATACACCGGTCATATCCAGTTGGGATTTCTTTGACCCGAGACAAAATGGGCTCGGATTTATGATTTTTTTGGTTTGTGTTCTTCATATGTGATTTATTTTATGAAGGGCCCCCTTCATAATTCATATTGATTCTTGCTGTAATTTCTGACTTATTTGTTCTCTGCTGAAGGAGAATTACAGGGAGTCCGATTTGTGATTGTCGTACATGTATAAAGTAAAGTCGAATAATCTTTGTGATAGTGATGGCATTGTTCAATTTACTGCATCAATGTGTTATACAAACGTCAGAGTACTATGTGCCACATTTATCAGAGTTAAAAAACATAAGCCTTGGTCCCCCGAATCTATGATCCACATCTCAAGGTCATGCGTGGATAAGCTCATGGCCGAGAGCCCATGGAGTGCTGCCACAATTTCACAAATCGGGTTGCACTCGACTCTACAAGGCTCTCCAACGCTTTTTACATCTGTTTGCTTTGTAGACTTTAACTAAAAAGATCCAATCAACCAAGTTGTTAAACTACATGAACATCAAATATATATACATATAGCATGTATGCATCCTGATAAGTTTCTGCATTAAATGCAGAAATCTGCATGAACCCTATTAGCTTGCATAAAAGATTAACATTTGTAGGATCCTCCGCTTGAGCGGCAGAACACTGTTATTCCACAGCCTGAGCGGCAGAACTCAGGTATTCCACTGCTTGAGCGGCAGAAGCACTAACCAGATTTACAAGTTAGCTTGCTGTCAGAGTTTTGATGAACTCACTGGAATTCAAATGTGATGAAATCACATGAATTCCAACATGCTTGTGCTAGTGAGGACCACCCAACTAGGGCGCTGCAGAGGGTTTTTAAGATGCCCGAAGTGCTTAGCTCTGATCGGACTTCAAACTAACGTAAAAGATTCAAGATTCACAGCGTTTAACTCTAATAAACTCTGCTAGTGCAAAAGTGCAATCTCCAAAGAATTTGAGACTGGAAAATGAAACATGCAGAAAACTTGGCATATTGTTGCACAAATTCACAGCGTTATGCCAAAATCTCGAGGAAAGTTTTGAGGGCCACGGAAGGGTGTTAGAAACTAACAAATCTCGATAAAGTATGTGTATATGTAACGGCAGACTATCTGTGAAAGAAGGAAAGATAAGCTTATACTTATGAAAATACAATACATAAATTCGACCTCAAGTCGCACAACATTAAAAAACGGAATACAAAAACATTGTTTTGCCAACAAATAACAGGTGAAACTGTCTGCGCATACTGAAGTTATGAACTGAGACTAGTCTTCAACAACTGCTAGCTCCCGCATTTGTGAAATATCGAGAAGAAAGCGCACGTAACTCTACTGAGTTTTTTTCAGGGAGAATTAATATCGATATCTACTTGTTCTGTTCCAGCGGTGTACTGGTAGTAGTATCTTTGCAGAAGGTGCCATCCAAACCAAGGAGTTCCTCAAGGCAGATATATCCCCCCTTGTTTATGGAGA